GCCCGAACTCGCTCCCCGGAGCTGCGCGTCCGCCAGGCCGCGCGGAGCTGCTCGGCGGCGCACCCTGCGCGTCAGAGCTTCTTTGAGGCTTAAGTAGAACGCTAGAGTGCTTTTCCCGAGCACGTCCAGGCAGGTCACCTGAGGACACTCGCTGGAAAATAGTTAGTTTGCTCGCGCATCCGCCAACAAGGGACGTGCCCTAATTGTGCGATTGGAATGAAAGATGAATACAATTTGAATAATTTTCTCCTGTGCAGTAGGAAGCTGTTTTTCATTTACTCATGGTTATGTCCCCAGGACGTAGCGAAGGGCTGTGTATGGTCCAGGCACAGAAAGGTTTGCTCCATTAGTGAGTTAATTAGTAATTAAATTGGAGGCCGAGAATGCACTGGAAGCCAGTTTTAGGGGTGTTTTCATTTTTTGACAAGTACTCACGGACCCCTCTGCATGTGTCAGACACTGTGGGTGCTGGGGGTCCCGAGGGAGAGAACGAGCTATGTATTCTCTAACAGGAGAGACAATGAAATAGTTCTGTGTGATAAGTGATGGGTTCGGAACGCATGACCTCAAAACACTGGATCTCGAGCATACTGAATAGGTGGAACTGAGGGAGTTGGGAAAAAACAGCAGAAGCAAGACATCACTCTGACGCTCCCCCTCACCTAAAAAACAGGTCATAAACTCCTCAGGTGAGAGGTCCCTCCCCACACCTGGAGGGAAGGAGCGTCCTTCTCTTTGAAGATAAAGGGGGAAGAAGAAGAGCCCTGATAGACAGCCTTGCTCCTTGCCCCAGTCTACATGCCCCTATCTCTGCCCAGCCGCTCCCAGTCTCTGCTTGTTTCATCAGCCTCTCCTGGAAATACACAGCTCCCTTTCTTTGGGGTTTCATTTCCTTTACAAAGGCTCCAGAGTCACATAAACCTTATATTGAATAGAGTTAAGTCTTTGGTCCATTTTGTGTTTGTTGCTGTCATTTTCAGGACCCGTCCAGGGACCCTAAAGGGGCAGAAGTGGGTATGAAGGAAAAGTTGCCAACAGAAAAATTGCAAAGTGACACCTCAGTAGGGTCATTATGGAAGGGACTTCATCCTGGTCCAGGGGCTGGGAAGCCGTCCCTGTGGAAAACTGCCAAGTGACAACTCACAGGATGGACAGGTTCCCTCGATGGACAGACAGGGCTTAGAAGACTGTGACAGGGCAGGTGGAAGGAACAGCACCAGCCGCTCAGGGACCCTGGGAGCATGTCCCCTGGGAGGAAAAGCGTCCTGCAGGGCTGGGTGAGAAGAGCAGTGAGGCTACACTGGAGAAACAGGCTAGGGCTAGCTCAGGCACAGACAGGTGCGCCCCAGCAAGGGTTGATTTTTGCTAGAAGGTCTTGGTGGCTCACTCTGGAAGGGGGACTGCTGAGGTTTGCTTCCTGTCCCCCTGCTCCTCCTTCTGGCGGTATGGTCAGACACCAGAGGTTTTACCGGCTTCCTTTTCTCTTCGGCGTACAACACAAGGAAGCTGCTACTTTGGGCAAACTCCTGAAGATAGAGCTCTCAGCTCTTTGAAATTAGTGTCATTCATTCCTTAACCATTATAACAAGAAACAGAAATGAGAAGGCTAAAGGGAGACAGAGAAGCCAAGTGCCCAAATCAGAGGTATTTGATCAGTCAAAAGTCTGTGCTCCAGGAAGCCAGGAGTATTGATGAAAAAGAACTTTGGAAATGGAAAATCAACTGGTACCTTTCAGAGATTTTCAGAAAGGTCAAAACAAGGAATAGAAGCACCCTTTGAAAGCCTCTTCTTAATAGACCTGCATTATGAAAGAGGTAGGAGATTAAACTTGGCTGCTTTGATAAAAACATACATAGAATCAACCAGAAAAGAATTTCTCCTAAATATGCCATCAAGTCCCCTTCAAGAAAAGACATGCAGCTGCTTGTCGACCGAGGTGGTTGGTTGGGTGTTTATCCTCCCAACACCCTGTGTGGCCAATTAGGAGCAGTACTGGCTGGTACCTTTAGATTCCAGCCAGCGGGTCTCTCTCTCTCTCTTTTTTCCCTCCTTCCCCATTATAAAGCCTTTTGCCAACACAGAGGACCCAGCGTCAGAAACACTGATGCAATGAGACGCTAATATCAGATTGCATCATATGATCTGAGGTGCGGTGCCCCGAAACTGGTTTTTCTTGTGCTCATGCTCCAGTAGAAAAGCACTTGGGGTAGAACACCCCAGAACTGGCCCTACTTGTCAGTTGACAGAAGTAATTTTTGCCTCAACAGATCTCGGGTCCACAGCGCTCCTAGGGAAAGCCAGGTGGCTTCCCGGCTGACATGGTTACAGCAGACGTTCGTCATTCACCTGATGTGTGTTCTGTGCTGCTTATGTAAGAAATGTTGCCTAAGGAGGGCACCTCCCAGGGAAGCTGGAAACAACACTTCCACTCTGCGTTAAGTCTCTCTTTAACTGAATTGTGTCTTCCTTTAATTGAGCGACATCTCTGAGCACAAACTGGTTTGGTGCAAAACCAGAAAAAGAGAAGGGAAAGAAAAGCCCTGAGGTTTCCCAGATGGGCACTGGGCTAAGCCCTTCACAGGCAGCATTGTGGAAAGGTGGCTTCCAGCTGCTCCCCCCTCCCCTGACCCCCTTCCCACCCACAACAGCCTATATGTGGCCTTTTCTGATCTGTGAGGCCGGCAGCGGTCAAGTTCAATCGGCTGCCTCGGTGAGGTTCCTCCCAGCCATGTCCCACTTGGGCACAGACAGCCACAGCTCCGGTGGGAAGGTTCCCAGTCTGGTCCGGTGTTGAGGCAAAAATGATCACTGATCATAAGGCTGGTCGGTGGTCTGTCTGGTTAGGATTCTGACAGGAGGCTGGCTCTCTGTTCTCCAACAGGGTAGCCCCCTCCCGGGTGGCTGTCGAGCACTGGAAATGTGGCCAGCAGCATTCTGGTGTCGGTCACTGTCCCTGGGCTCAAAGTCAGCGCGTGAGAGAGTGTAAGAGCACCTCATGGATCATTTCAGTCGATTTAGCCCGTGTTGAAATGTAAGATTTTTGATGGGTGATGTTAATGTGCATTCAAGTTAACACCACCTGTTTCCTTTCTACTTTTTTCAAAGTGGCTACCATCAAGTATATCAAAGGACACTTAAAATGGGGGTGCTCCTTGTTTATTTCCATTGGACAGCACAATCTGCACCATCAGGGCTGGGAAGTCAGGTATTTGTTCTGATCCAACAGTTTCTGTCTCTGTTCTCCATCTGGAAAATGGCAAGAGTCTGGGTGGAATTTCTCTGGACTGAAGGTTCTCTGATCCTGGGCCCCCCCTGGAGGTGCAAGGGTTAAAGCAGAGCACCACAAAGCCAGCCGCAGCCACATCAACAGAGTTCAAACCTCAGCCAGGGAGCTGACCCACGTGTCCCCGCAGACCTCTCCTGACCGGCCCGCTGCTCCCCTCAGCAGAGGACTTCGTCAGTCTGCCTGTTCTGATCCCCACTCTGTCTCTGGTGAAGCCTCTCTCTGCCCCTGTACCCCAGTTCTGTATACATAAATCAGTAAACATCAAAAAAAAATTTCTCTGATCCTGAGAACAGTGGTCAGTGGAGATCCCTGTCATCATTTGGGGGAGGAAAAATGTTTTCTGGAAGGGGAAGATATGATAATCCTATTCCTGCCAGCGAACCAGG